TCTGATATATATATATACACACACACACAATATTTAAATATGGAGGAGAGATCAAATTGCACTAGTGTAACTTTGAATTGAATCATTATTTTTCAAAATTTATCGATAGATTGAAAGTTTATTTCTCCTAGATCATATATACAAAATTTTATATTAATCTAAATTTTTTGATGCCACATTTATATAGATCAAAATCGACGTAATATATACGGTTCAAAATATACTAAAATATTAACAATTTAATTGTCTTTTATTGTTGTTCAATTTTAACAAAATTTGACGTATATAAGCAAAGTAAGATAAAATTTTAATTCAATGGTTAGATCATCAAAAGTAATTTTTTATATAAAGTTATTAAAGAGTGTAATAATTGTAAAAGTTACACTAGGGTAATATGATCTCTCCCCTTAAATATATATAAATTCTGTATTAATTATTATATAGATAAAATAATAATTTGTATTAGTTATTATATATCTAACAAAAGGTTAATATTGTTATTTACATTTATATTTTATATCATATCCTAATATTGTCTGATCCACCTCGTACATATGATAGGATAATATATATATTAGCCAACATATTATAGATAGCACTTCAAACATCAGATAGTATAAAAACATATTTGGTCTTATCCTATCCTATTGTTATCCGACTAATATTGTATGCTGACCTCCAAACAAGTCCTTATAGTTTTTCTTGAGTGTTAATTTCCATACTATGGTCACTAGAACTGAAAGAAGTATGAAATTAAGAATTTTGTGTGAAGTAATTTCTGAAGTATTTTTCAATAACTTAGTGTTAAATAATTATCAATATTATTCTGTTTTGATTGTCAATGTTGTGAGTGAGATTTGTTTTGAAGGATACTCCTCTTTGTATGTTAATTTAATACTTATCGAGTTTTCTTTTCCTTTTTAACTGAATAACTTACTAGCATCTGTTCTTTACTTCTTTTTTTATTTCTTTTGGTCTGCTCCGTGATGCGCTAAACACAAGTTCAGATGATCTACCTTTGTGGGGTATGTCCAAAACTGCCTCTTCTCCTTTCTTCTCCTTATTTGATATGGTTTTGTACTTCACTTGTTGGCTATTTATCTAAGATACTTCTTTTTCATTTTAAGGGTATGTTGGTGAGCTACATCCTGATAAGAACAGTGATAATGGCAAGCATGTTCTTTACACACACAAAAACATTATTGTTAAATACAACAATGATCAGGTCAGAAGTTATTTAAATATCTTACGTCATCTTTTGACAGGTTATGGATCCTTGGAAGTTTTATATTAAGGTCCATTTCCTTGCAGATTATTCATGTCAATCTCACTCAGGATATCCCAAAGCCTTTGGAAGTTGGAAAACCTTTGGACATGACATATTCTGTCAAATGGATTTCCACCAATGTCACTTTTGGGCGTCGCTTTGATGTCTACCTCGACCATCCTTTCTTTGAGCATCAGGTACAGCTTTGTTTTTAAATGTGAAATGCTGTTGTTTTTTGTTTCGCAAATTGCTATGTATTCATCCATGTTAATCCTCCCTTACATCTGACTCTGAGAATTTTGCTCCTCTTGTTTTTTCCTAGATTCATTGGTTCTCCGTTTTTAACTCTTTCATGATGGTCATCTTCCTTACTGGATTGGTGTCAATGATATTGATGCGAACTCTGAGAAATGACTATGCAAAATATGCTCGGGAAGATGATGATTTGGAAAGTCTGGTAGATGGTCACATTAACTTTTGCCTTTTCTTAATTATTTGTGGAATATGGGTCCTTTCCTCCTAGAAAAATCATTGTTCAAATTGTCAAATATTTGGTCATTTCTTCCTTGCTATAGGAGAGAGATGTAAGTGAAGAATCTGGCTGGAAACTTGTGCATGGTGATGTTTTCCGGCCTCCTCGCTACTTGGTTATTCTTTCAGCTGTTGTTGGCACAGGTGCTCAGCTAGCAATGCTGGTTCTTCTGGTCATCTTGTCAGCTATTGTTGGGATGTTGTATGTTGGGTATGTTCATAACTGACTGAAACAAGTCTGAATAATGAATTCAATGGTATTCTAGTTGTGTACAAATTTTACTTCATGCAACAAGTATGTGGTGATATTTGCATATCTCAGCTATTTCTATCTCAACAATAATAGTTGGGACACTTTGTGTTTTTTGTTCCTTGCTCTTTTTGCAATTGTCATGTAAGTTTCCTTCATTGCATGTCTCAGGCGAGGAGCAATTGTCACTAACTTCATTGTGTGCTATGCTCTCACATCTTTCATTTCTGGTTATGTAAGTGGGGGAATGTACTCACGAAATGGGGGTAAGAATCTCATTTAATTTTCTGTATGTTCGCTGCAAGTATGTTTGAGTGGCTTTGTCTCAGATTTGTCTTTCTTGGTTTTGAATGATTATATAACTATTTTTATCTGTTTGTTAGGTAAAAACTGGATTAAATCCATGATCCTTACAGCTTCTCTGTTCCCATTCATGTGCTTTGGAATTGGATTTATCTTAAACACAATTGCTATATTCTATGGATCTCTAGCAGCAATTCCATTTGGCACAATTGTGGTTGTGTTTGTCATTTGGGCTTTCATCTCTTTCCATTGCTATATTCTATGGATCTCTGGCTGCAATCCCCTTTGGTACTATAGTTGTTGTTTTTGTTATTTGGGCTTTTATCGCTTTCCCTCTAGCACTTCTTGGCACAGTTGTTGGAAGAAACTGGAGTGGTGCTCTGAATAATCCATGTCGCGTAAAGACTATTCCTCGTCCCATTCCTGAAAAGAAGTGGTATCTCACTCCCTCTGTGGTTTCTCTGATGGGAGGACTGCTTCCCTTTGGCAGCATATTTATTGAAATGTATTTTGTATTCACTTCCTTCTGGAATTACAAGGTGAATTACAGCACTATGACTTGTTTCAGTGATTAAGTTTCTGTTTACTTATTGGTTTTTGGTTATGAAAGTTGTGCATGTTTATCAAAGTCGAGCAATATCAAGGAAAATAACTCTTGAAACTGGTCTTTTTAAGTAAAAATATGTGCATATTTAGTGAAGCTGTCACTGCACATTGGCTTATATATTTTTCCCTCCTTTGTGGCATACAGGTGTACTATGTATATGGCTTTATGCTGCTAGTCTTTCTGATTCTTATCATCGTTACTGTGTGTGTGACAATTGTGGGGACATACTTTTTGTTAAATGCTGAGAACTACCACTGGCAATGGACTTCTTTCTTTTCAGCTGCTTCAACAGCTGTTTATGTGTATTTGTACTCAATATACTACTACTATGTGAAGACGAAAATGTCAGGCTTCTTCCAAACCAGCTTCTATTTTGGATACACTTTGATGTTTTCTCTCGGACTAGGAATTCTATGTGGTAAGTCTTCAGTTTGATTTAGCTTTTCACCCTGCTTATATGTAACAGGATATCTTATTGTGTGCTGAATAAACCACATTTTTTCCTATTTTCCTGCAATTGCATAAATCCTTGGGTCCTTATCTCCTGAATTGGGTTATAATATTTCTTTAAATGTGCAGGAGCTGTGGGTTTCCTTGGTTCAAATTTGTTCGTGAGAAGGATCTACAGAAACATCAAGTGCGATTAAGGTTTTTTGAGTTAGACCTGAGCACTTCCATAGGTTTGTTGCTGAAGACAATAAATTTTTGGAGGAAGACTCTGGTCGTGGGGGAACCTAACAATGTTTACAGGTAGAATCACAGGGTTTTGAGAATGAGGTTGTATTCTTTTTCTATATTGGGGAAGCCCTGAGATTTTTTCCCCGACTGTAATTGATTGTCTTTTATAATTTTAGATAATTAGTACAATATCCAACTCTCGTGATTACTGTTTCATCCCCTTATGAAATAGGGGGCCATTGAAGGACTGATATCTAATTCCCCAACATGTTTTCAACTATTCAATGTATGTAAAGTGGGGATCGAGTCGCGGAAATGAATTTTGTGCGTCTGAATTTTGTATGAAGATCTAAATATCATTCTTATCTGTTTCCTTAACAGTTAATATTGTTGTGTATGTACTCTTTACCAGTTAGCTCCTTTTTTTCCCCTCTTTTTTACCGGCTGTGTAAATATTTTGGCATTGCCTTGGAAGAGACCAAGTAATTGTGAATGGAACCCGAGTACGTGCCTTTATTAATCTTTTAATATGCTGCTTTTAATATGGTGCATAGCAGGTCTCATAATGGGACGGAGAGAAGGGACAGAAAATGAGGAAGGGACGAAGTGTAATGTGAGAAATATTTTATCTATTGTAGTTTAACCAATCAAGTTGAGTATGCTTAAACTATGTTACAGTGGTTTTGGCAAATAATAATAGCAATTAGCTAGACAATATTTTTGCTGCAGTACTTCTGGACAGCGCCCGTTTTATTTCTAGTTTTGTTCTTACTCTGGTTTTCAATGCAAGCATAAAGGCATCTTTGGCCTTCCCTGTAGAATATTTCTTGAAACAAGAAACGTTACAATTCTTGTATGCAAGCTTTCTCAATTGCTGTTATATTTGTATTTTGCAAGAGTTTAAACAATTTTTCTAATTGCTAGTGTGATAGGATTTTTCTAGAAGTATCAGATAAACACGGGTATTATTATTATTATTATGGATATGCAGGTTTGTATAATAAGATATAAGATAATTCTGTAACCACAAATTATTGTTTGAAACAAGTTGTCTATTCGTAGCTGCCCGAGAGTATGGTTGGAACAGATGTCTTGCTGGGGGAATCTTAACAGTTCTTTTTCTTCTCGCTTTCTTCGCTTTAATATATTTTGTTTTGAGTTTGTAGGCATTTGAAAATATCTCGTTGCTGCTGTGACAACTGAAGTTGTTATTGCTAGCTGAACTTTGTGGTGCTAATATGTTCGTAATTCCCTGCCGGTAACTGAAGTGGGGTTTTGAAAACCATTGTATTTGTAGTAGATAAATCCCTTGCATCGAATGGCTATAGATTGCGCAAGTTCCAATCAACTTTTGAGTGGCCAAAGTTTGTTCCATTTGGTCATTTATGGGGCATGGTTTGTGCCAACCACAATCGTTCGGTGGTGATAAAGGAGATAAAAAAGTAACCTTTAAAACACTGCCACGTGGCAGATAGGGTTACATGCCAGTTTACGTCGTGACTTGTTGCAAACACACTATTTCCACAAGCTCACCCCACCCTTTAGTTATCAACAACACAAACAAGTGATTTATTTTCCATCCACTCACTCTTTGCCCCATCTACCACACTTGTGCAATGGCCACCACACCAGCTCTCTCCGGAACCATGGTGAGCACCTCCTTCCTGAGGAGGCAACCCATGACCACAAGCCTAAAGGCATTCCCCAACGTGGGTCAGGCTGTTTTTGGTCTGAAAGGTGGACGTGGTGGTCGTGTGACTGCCATGGCCTTGTACAAGGTGAAGCTGCTGACACCAGAAGGACCACAGGAATTTGAATGCCCAGATGATGTTTACATTGTTGACCATGCAGAGGAACTAGGTATTGACCTTCCCTACTCTTGCAGGGCTGGTTCTTGCTCTTCCTGTGCTGGAAAAGTTATTGAAGGTAAAGTGGACCAGTCAGATGGTAGCTTCCTTGATGATGAACAAATAAATGGTGGGTGGGTTCTCACCTGCGTTGCTCAACCTAGGTCTAACGTTGTCATTGAGACCCACAAGGAGGAGGAGCTCATATGATCGTGTCACCACAAATTTCTATGGCATTGTTATTGCTAGCTTCTAGTTATTATTATATCTTGCTGTTCTATCGATCTCGTGTTTTAATTTTGTTATAGTGGGATTGGATGGCTAGCTAGCTGAACTCATGATGACTACTAGCCCCTTCTCGGGATATGTAAGTTCTCTTAGAATGATTGATTGATCATTCATTCGTTTATGGTAACAAATGAAAACTCTTGCAGCTTAGCTTGGTGATGCTTTCCTTAATTACTGTTTCTATACATGTTGTCCAAGACAATTTGGGAAATTTATTTAGTTTTTCTTGGTCTACTTCCCGCTTTGACGAGTAAGTTTAATTTTGATTTTGGCAAGTAATTGACAGGCCCAATTGTAATGCTTGATATGAGTTTGGTGAATAAGTGTGTGAGTTTTGACTGTAATTGAACAAAATATGCGCGAATCCTAGCTAAGCTCATTTGTGATAGTTATTATTTAGTAGTTATTAATCAGGGAAAGGGAAAAACAACAGATGCACCTGGTTGCTGAAGGAGCTGGCTATGGTGGGGGAAGTGAAGGTTGTCGTGAAGGGAACTTATTTTTATGTTTGCAGCAAATTAATCTAAATTGCCTTATTTTTTTATGATGCAACACCAATGACTACAGGTTAATAGATCCCTAATAATCACATTATTCCGTGGTACATGTTAAAGGATTTTTAAACTTATACTTATTTTTCATCAATCAAATTATAATTTTTAAGTTCAGTTCAAGTGAAATATTGAGCTTAGAATATCTTAAATATTTTTAGCGTATCTTATATATCAAATGGGTAGAATTATTCAATCAATATATTAATTAGCAAATATTCCATTTCTCAAATTTGTTTGTAAATATGCATAAATATAAAATATATATATATATATAAGAAAAATAATATTATTAGTTAAAAAGACTATAAATTATAAATAAAATGAATTATACTTTTCTTTGTTGAAAGGTGTGGACATATATTTATTTTACATTAACATTAGTTGACGCAAATGATAACAATTTGTATCCTTTAATCAGATTATTCAAGTTCAAATCTTAACTTTGATTATAAAATAAATTATGTTGTGAGAAAAATACTTAATTTGTGTACATTTACGGTCTCAAACAAAAATTAATTTGTATCAATAATATGATATATATTTATTTTACTGTCATTCCGTTTGGCTTAGACTTTTTAAAAAAAATTTTTTGCATAGTTTTAAATTTGTTATAATTGAACAGATCATAAATTATATTAAATATTAACTTTTTTATTAAAAAAAAAGTAATTGTATAAAATCCTTATCTTGGTCCTCTCCTTCATTGTTAGTGTATCAGAGTGAATTCAACATATCTTGCACACCACCAAGCTAAAGATCCAGTAAATTTATAGCCAAATAATTTCGATTGATTTCATTTCCACACAAAATCAATCATGCAACACTTTCACCCGAACGAAATTAAGTGATTTTACACTTAAATCATTTCGTTTTCATTGCAATGCACCAAAATTTAAACTCACTCCTTCATCTTTCATTCTTGCAATAGCACAAAGGAAAAGAAAAAGAAGCACACCACCAATAATTTATTTGAACAAAACAACTGCAATAACATGAGGACCGAAATTAATCGCCATCATTAAATTAGGGAATAGAAAAAAAAAAATCACAAAGCAATTCCCCCAATTTCCAAACAAGGAAGAAAAACAACAAAAATCTCACATGTGACGGCCCAATAATCTGCTTGACAGGCTAAAATTTTTGGTTTGTCATGTTTAATACAGGTTAGAATAATCTAGTCACCTCTATTTCATGGGTTAAAATGATGAATTTTCATGTTAGAAAACACAAGGAAGCATTTATGATACATTTATATTAGCTATGATTGAGCCATTGGATTTTAATGGTGCTAAGCACTAAGGTCCATTGGTAAGTGCGACAGTGACTAAGTTACGTGTGACACTCTTGGAATATCATATAATTCAGTCATGTTTTATTATTTATTTTTTAGTATGATACCTTATACTTACATCAGTTACATATGTAACTTTGTACTAACATTGAATGCTTATGAATTATTAGTCTGATTAGGGTGAGTTTCTCTGCTACGCTTGTTTAAGAGAATGTTAAATAAATAAGCCTGCACAAGTTAGGGTAAAATAATTTTAGTGTGCATATAAGCTTGTAAAGGCTCAAGGGAAAAAGAATATTGGTATAGCTAAGAGTGACAATAAAAAAAATACTTGTATAATTGTTAACATTTGTGTGTGTGTGTGAAACTTATATTGCTATTTGAAATAGTGAAAAATCTCTGTTGATGCGAAGACTAAACATAATCCAAAGATTATTTGGGATGACAAAAAATAAGTTCAGTTAACAGGAGGCTAAATACAATCTGAAGAATATTTTATGCAAATAAAGATAAATCTCTATACATCTCTTATTTTATTTTTTATTTTGGTACATTCTATACATCTGCTATTCCTTCTTTATTTACGAATTTTATTTAGATATAAATTTGTTAATTTACACTTAGGTGTATTTTAAGCAAATTATAATTATAGTTTGCTAATATACTCCTTCTAAAAGGAAGTGGATGTATTTAGCAAATTCAAAAAATATTTGTTACCGTACACCTAGCTATATTTTAGTTTAAATAGGTTAACAAGTTGCAAATTATGTATATTTTAATATAATTTTAATTATAATTTACTAACTCACTCTAATTAAAAATAAATAAATGAATATAAGTTAGCAAATCATATATAGATATATTTGTCTATTACTGATTTTTTGTTATACACACATCTTAATAATACAGGGAAAAAAGACAGGTTTCACTTTTTCTTGTTGTGTAGACATAACTACAGTAATTTATACAAGTTTTTTTAATTATTTCTTTATCATATTATTTATTATATTTTAAAATTTTCTATCTTTTTTCTCAATCTCTCTTTACTATACAAATAAGTATATATAAATCATTTCTCTCTAAATGTTTTTTTAAAGTAATTTTATTATGGATTTAATTTTTGTTCCATCTGGTTTTTACTTACATAATTTATCATTTTATCTTTTTCTTCTTCTTAGTAAGCACACCAACTTTACACATATATTATTAGACTTGATATATGTATAAATAGTTGGCGATCCCTTTAATAAGTCTAATATAAACTTGAAAATAACTTAACTTTATAAAAATAATTTATAAAATAAAAATTATTCTTTATTTATATATACTTTATTTATCTTATTTCTAATAAATAAATCATCATCTTTAATAATTTAGATAAATATCTTAAAATATAAACTTAGTTCAATTCCATCTTACAAAGTTAATAAATAATTGTTTTTAGTAATTTAAATAACTATAATACCATCTTAAAAAAAAGAAATTCACTGTAACTTAACCTTAAAAATATTGACTCACGTAAAAAAAAAGTGTGTAAGAAATGTTTATACAAGTAGTCCTTTTGAGATAATGGCTGAAATCCACTTTGATCTTCCTCTCTATATGGTTCTTCCATTCACCCAATTCGTTTTTTTTTTTTCTTAAAACATTTCAATGTGTATAGGAGCTAGAAGAAAGCACGAAGTCCCTTGGTTCCATTCCATGCAAATTCTATGAAAATCATGTCTCCAATCTCTCAGTCACTCCATCAGCTTCCACCTCACCAATCTTTCTCCCTCTCTCCTGTTTTTACATTTGTTTTATTATTTTTATTATTATTATTTTCTCTCATGCATGGTTTTCGTTTGGAACTTGCCAATTCTGGAACTGAAAAACCAAGAGAGAGATGGGTTCCAAACTTCTAAACCAATGAGATTTGCCACCATTTTCGGCCCATGAAACCTCTCTCCTGCTTCTTGTGGACGTGGTGTTGGACCATGCTCTGAATTGCTCGCAACATGTTACATGAATCCATGAGCATGCAAAATTCTTTTCTTTTTCCTTTTTTATTTTTATTTTTTGCCATTGCTTTCTTCTCCGTCTCTCTTTTCTCCAGGGAATCATTTTTCTTTTTCTCTTTTTGTTAAAAGAGACTCTCAGAATTTGTTGAAGAGACATGTTGACCTTGGCTTCATGCATGTCTTCCTTACAACCAAAAAGATGATGATATGAGATAACTGAAAGGATCTCAAGGTGATTAACATGTTATATTTTTTTAAACCATTGCCAATAATGCTACGCATAGAGACTTTTTTTTTAATAATGTGTGTAATTTAGAAAGCTTACATCCTTTTGAGTTCTCAGGTTGAAATGGATTGTGGCAATTTCCAAAGCACTCCAAACAAGGAGTATGATGGCCATAAGGAACCAATTTTCTTACATGGTGACTTGGATCTCTTCATAATAGAAGCTAAGTCTCTTCCAAATTTAGATTTATCTAGTGAAGCAGTTAGAAAATGTATCACTATGGGCAGCATGTGCCATCCTCCATTTATAAAAGGACTAAAGACACACTCTGGAAAAGATAAGATGATAACTAGTGACCCTTATGTTTCTATATGCATAGCTGGGGCCACCATAGCTCAGACTAGAGTGATTCCTAACTGTGAGAACCCTTTGTGGGATGAGCAATTTATTGTGCCTGTTGCTCACCCTACTCAAAAGGTGGAGTTCCTTGTGAAGGATAATGATATTCTTGGGGCTGAACTCATTGGAGTGGTGGAGATACCTGTTCACAAGATAATTTCAGGAAATGTTATTAATGATTGGTTTCCCATCATTGGTCAGTATGGAAACTGCTTAAAACCTTATCCTGAGTTGCATATTTCTGTTCAGTATAAGCCAATTGGAGTGATCCGTGCAGAAAGTATCAGTAATGGGGATCTGAATCTAGAGGTTCCTAAAACATATTTCCCTCTCAGGAAAGGAGGGAGTGTGACTCTGTATCAAGATGCACATTTACCAGATGGTATGCTACCTGAAATTCCACTTGAGGGTGGAAAAGTGTTTCAGCACACTAAATGTTGGGAGGATATATGCCATGCAATTTTGGAAGCTCATCACATGATATACATTATAGGATGGTCAGTTTACCACCCAGTGAGGCTTGTCAGAGAGCCAACAAAACCATTACCTTCTGGGGGAGAGCTTTCACTTGGAGAGCTGTTGAAGTACAAGTCACAAGAAGGACTCAGAGTCGTTATGCTAATTTGGGACGACAGAACTTCACATGACAAGTTTCTTTTGAAAACAGTAATTCTCATTACCTTCATTAGAAGTTAGCTTTTTTATTTCTTTTTCTTTTCTTTATCCTAAATGATTGATCTGCTTTGTTGTTAGTTAAATTTAACTCATATCATAAGACATTAAATTCATTATATTGCTTTCATACCATGAAATCATTTAAAGAAAAAGTCCCAATTAGGATAAAATTTGGGGAGTTCTGAAGTAAAAGATAGTTATGTTTCTTTTTATGGTGGTGGATTTGCTTAGGCTGTCTTGTACAATGTGCATTATTAACTTTCAGTAATTAGATGCTGTGCTCTAAGATTCCCAAAATATAAGTTTTACTGAATATTTTCCTTATGGATTGTTGTAATGTAGTAGATATGGTAGCATAACAACTTTCTGTGTCACTAGATTTATAATTAATGCACATCATAATATTTGATTTTCTTGTTTGCAGGATGGTGTCATGCAGACTCACGATGAAGAAACTAAGAAGTTTTTTAAACATTCCACTGTTCATTGTGTGCTATCTCCTCGTTATGCAAGCAATAAGCTCAGTATTTTCAAGCAACAGGCATGGAGTTCTTGCATTTGAATTTAGGATTATGTTGGATAAACTAGCTATTTTACATCACCACCAATGTCATTATTTCCTAACTGGAAAATTTGCATTAAGTATTAATCATAGATGTAAGATCTAGTAGTGTGCTTTTTTCCTTTTTAGCTAAAACTTAAAGCAATACTAATTTGATTGAATCATTTCGTCTAGGTTGTTGGAACCCTCTTTACGCATCACCAGAAATGTGTGATTGTAGACAGTCAAGGTTCTGGGAATAATCGGAAAATAACAGCTTTTCTTGGTGGTTTGGATCTGTGTGATGGAAGATATGATACTCCTGAGCATCGTCTTTTTAATGATCTAGATACAGTATTTCATAATGATTTTCACAATCCTACATTTCAAGTAAGTGTTTTTTGTGAACTTTGAAGAACTCACAACTATGCCTTCTCTTTTATTATACTTGGAAATTTTATAAAATGTGTCTTTATGTGCATACTCCACCTTTTTCTTGTGCATGCATGGAAAAACAGTGGAATAAAGATAACACCAATTAATTTCTGGCATGTCTGTTTGCTGATTTTTGTCAACAATAACAAGAAGATGCAAGCCTTACCCCTGGGGTGGGGTTGGTACATGGATCAAAGAATGATATTGTGCTCTAAACAAAACCGATTGATTTAAAGGCCATTTAGAACAAGGTCTCTGTCTGTCTCTGTCTTTTTTACGTTTTTAAGATTTTGCTTAGAGTTTTCATCAATCTTCCTCTTTGTTAATTTTTGATCAACTTCATTCGCTTGATTCCATTGGTCTTCTTACATGGCTAAACTACCTAAGAATATGTTTGAGAGTTGAGTTTTAGAAGGAAGGAGAGAAGATAAATATGTATACCTTTATTGGTCTTGTCATGCGTGCCTTTATTTCATCCTCCCATTTTGAATCCTAAGTTTTAGATGTGGTAATTTTTGTCACATGTTTATCATCTACTGGCCTTTTCAGTGTTTCTGAGTTGTTCATGCATAAATTTACTTTTAGCAGATGTAGAAGCCAATAAAATGTGCAAATCAATAGGTACTACTGGTCAATTAGGTGACTCATTTTGTCATTTGGTGATTTTGCATTATAACATTGTAAAATCAATTATGACAATGTTGCTCTTCTGTCCACATAGTATCTGCTATAGTGTGATATTCACTGTTTGGTTGGGTGAAAGAGAGAAAGAAAATAATTACACACATCAGCACCAAATAAAGGAGAGAAAAAATATATCATGTGGGAATTTGCTGAAATTGTGTGCTATATGAAACAGTTAAGTTCGCATTCGCATGCACATGCACCAAGGCAGCCTTGGCATGACTTACATTGCAAAGTTGAAGGTCCAGCAGCATATGATATATTGACCAATTTTGAACAAAGATGGAGGAAGGCCAAAAAATGGCGTGACTTCAGGCTCAAAAAGGTGACAAACTGGCATGATGATGCTTTGCTAAGGCTAGACCGCATTTCATGGATTGACAAACCTTCTCCTGGTTCCAATGATGATAGAGCCGGTCATGTAACTGATGAAAATGATCCTGAGAGTTGGCATGTGCAGGTACGAAAATATGTTGATAGACTCTGATGACATGTGCCATCCTTCCTGATAGAATTCAGTAAAGATTATGAACTAGCTTTAAATACAGGTATTTAGGTCCATAGATTCTGGATCTGTGAAGGGATTTCCAAAGGATTGTGACAAAGCTAAGGCTCAGGTGAGAACAAGGTCGTACGTGATACCCCTTTGTGTTCTGAGTGCTTAGTTATTTTCAATAAGTTTGCATTGTGGTATGGTTAAGTTATATTGTGATAAATTAGTCCTTAACTTCTAACGTTAATTTTTTTCAGAATCTTTTATGTGGAAAAAATTTGAAAGTAGATCAAAGCATCCATACTGCTTATGTAAGAGCAATAAGATCTGCTGAGCACTTTATATATATTGAGAATCAATATTTTTTGGGCTCCTCCTATCATTGGCCTTCATATAAAAATAATGCAGGTAGATAAACTTAATTTTCCAATATCTTCATCTTTATAAGGCATTTGCTAGATTTTGCTTTGTTATATCATCAAAATTCTGAAGGATCTATAAAGGAACAAACATGACAAGTTAGTCTGAGTTAGTCAATACAACTTGTTTTGGAATAAGCTCGGGTGATCCTCATATTTAGACTTGGCCCAACAATGGATTTAGGATAAGCTCCAATACCATTTCAGAATTTAGTCTTAAGACTAACTTAATCCTACAAAACTAATTTGTAAAATGAGGATTGTCCAACATTTATAAGCTCTATTTTAATTATATCTCTAACCAATGTGAAACTAAAACAGCCCCCAAAGAGACCGCAATTAAGGCATTCTAGGGGTGACTGCAATTTATGCGTCTTTCCAATATGCATTATCACTCTCCTGTTCTTAAGTTTTAGTAGCATTTGAATGTTAAGTTAATTTGTGACTGACGGACACATTGCTGTAGTTTTTACCAATCCACTGCAAGTGTAAGGTTTTTATTTCTTTTCTTAACAGGTGCAAATCACTTGATTCCCATGGAGTTGGCTTTGAAAATTTCCAGTAAGATCAGTGCAAATGAACGTTTTTCTGTGTATATAGTTATACCAATGTGGCCAGAGGGTGTTCCAACAAGTGCTTCAGTTCAAGAAATTTTGTTTTGGCAGGTCAGACCAATTTTAGTCCGAGTTCCCTTGTTAAATTTAGCAGAGTAACATTTTCAGTACTCTTCATGCAAGTCTGTCTAAATTAGGAAGTGAGTTTGGTAGAACATGTTTCTTCCACAAACTTATGTATATTATTTAACGGAAATGAGTGCAATGCTTTAAAGCAATATTCCAACACCTACACTGGACATTGGCATCAGCAAAACACGGCTAATGTCTAAAATATAGGATACTAGGACACCACACGCATAATTCTGTTTATATTTATGGATATTGTTGAAATGTCTTGAATTTTATCAATGAGTTGTCCCAAATTATGACTTGATACGTTGGAGCTCAATGGACCAGGCCTTTTTTATGTACTTCTTTCGAATGTAAATGAGTTTAGGGAGTTGCAAGTCAGAGAAAAATAGGGATGCTCAATTATTAATGTTTGAGATTCTGTATCTATTCTCTGAAGCAATAAAAAAGCTCTCATATTCTTGTGATGTAGGTAACATTAGCTGAATCACATTAAATCTGTAATTCTGTATGTGTATTCTTTTTTTCAACTCAGCATGTTTTGTTTATTCTCGTCTTTGGCATAACAAATATGATTGAAGGGTACTTATTACAACCTTCCTATTTGAAATTTGAATGACTATAGGGACAGACAATGTCTATGATGTACAAGATTGTAGCTGATGCCCTTAAAAAAGCAGGTCTCTCTGGTCAGTATCATCCACAAGATTATCTCAATTTTTACTGCCTTGGAAAGAGAGAACCTCAATCCTCAAAAGTTCCATCACCGCCAAATCAATCTGAAAACCGCCCTTTGGTATGCTAAACTACAATCCTCTGTTTCCTTAACCAAATGTTAGCATTGAGTGCAGTTTGCAATGATTATTGAATGTGTATGTTTTGATTACCATTTCAACCCTTTCAAAATTACTTTCAACCCAAAAGTAACAAAGTCGCACTTTTAACACGCGTTCAACACTGCAAACACCAAACGATAATCCAATCATAGCTTTATAATTTCTTGATGTGTTCATCATGAAACACAAGCAGTTAATTCTTGTCAGAGTTTGCCTTCATCTTTCATTAAAAAAGTTACTGCAGCATTTGAATTTTTTAAATTGACTAGAACTTCTATGGTAGCTGTAACACAAACAATTTGATCTGTGATGAGAAGCTCCCCTTCTATCATCACTTTGTGCCTGTTTTACTTCATGTACTTGTGAGTACTGAGGCTTGGACACATAATGAATAAAAGATCTTGTAACTGTGAACGGGATTAGTCTCTGGTCAGTGGACTGGAGATACCTGTGGCCGGACTGAAACAAAATAAAAAGAACAAAGGCAAGGAAGAAGTGTGTCAGCATTATATAATGGCAGTTACACTTGAGAAGCAATCAGTTGGTGCATGCAATTCCATTTGCAGACCTTTTCTGTTTATGTGGTGATAGTTTATGATCTTATTCTTATTTGTTCCCATTCTTTAATCAGGTATCAGTTAAAAGATTCAGACGTTTTATGATTTATGTTCATGCAAAAGGAATGATAGTTGATGATGAATACGTAATTATTGGATCAGCAAATATAAACCAGAGATCATTAGATGGTTCAAGGGACACAGAAATAGCTATGGGTGCTTCTCAACCAAAATATACATGGACAGAAAAGAACTCTCATCCACATGGCCAGGTTTGAAGCTCCTGCTATGGTTGTTAATTTTTTGTATATCAATAGAAAAATATTACAATGACAACAATAATGTTTGAATTTAATACTTGTGCACATTACCGTATCAACTATGTTTGTTAATGAACGAAATTAATCTAAGACGAAAGTAAATATCTATTCACAATTTCTCGTTAATTAGCTTGTTTTATAGGACATATTGCAAACACATGAAATAGTTAGACACGACCAAATAGAAGCTAACTAAATGTGTAATATCTGCCACGTTAAGACATCTCAGTTCTTTACATTTATTTTCTAAGTTTACGTCACATTCAAGTGTTAAGTAAAACAAGACCAAAGCCTGACCCAATTAACATAAACTTGTGGGAATGAGACATCACAATTTTTTGTTTAAAAAGTGATTACATTCTACCTTGCACCAAAACGCAATAATCCATACCAAAGCAAACAAAATATGAAAATACAAAGTCCTTAGTATAGATGGTAAAGGTCACCAACAATCACTAGATACTCATACAACTGAAATTGGTATAATATTGGGGTTTCAATCTTTGTATCTGCCCAGATTCGGATTCCTTGCAGTCAGGGACTACACACATTCATACATTCAGTCACCAAGAATAGTTGGATGAAATCATCTTCGTAAATCCATCTTAAAATACACATTTGAAATACAAACCATCTGATCATCATCCAACGGCAAAGTCTTACACTGCCAACCCATCATTAAAAAGTATATATCTTTTTTATTTATTTATTTACATCAAGGATGTTTCTCAATCAATAGTCAGAGACTAATTCCTTCAAGGCATAGAGATTACCGAAATAGATATTACTTCTTTCAAACATGTTTAAAGAACTCAACTACCCACTGGTCTAGACTTCGTTAGTTAAATATTATATATCTTTTGGATAAAAAATTTATATTAATTTATCAGATAAATCATTGTTAGCATAATTGATGACAGCCTCTCATAGTAGCACAAACTCAGATATGTGAATACTGAATAGATTCTGGCTATGTAATTTCATCTTTTCTTTTCTCAGTAATTGGCAATTCCCACAAAGATTGTGTTGGTGTAGGTGTATGGATACAGAATGTCACTGTGGGCTGAGCACCTTGGTATTCTTGAAGATGTTTTTGGTGAGCCTGACAGCCTGCACTGTATTAGACAAGTCAACAAAATAGCCAGACAAAACTGGGACACATATGTGTCTGATGAAGGGAATCATTTGAGGGGACACTTAATGCAGTATCCAGTTAAGGTCAGCAATGATGGAAAAGTTAGTGCACTCGATGATTATGACTCCTTTCCTGATGTTGGTGGCAAAATTCTTGGATCACCAAATTCACTTCCAGATGCACTAACCACGTGATTAACCAACCGAAATCTTGGAAAATTCCCCAACAAATATATAGTTGCTAAGAATTGCAGCTCAAAAAATGGTAATGATGGTAAAACCAATTTATTCACTTAGAGTCTATTTAGATAGAGAGTTAGAAAAACTTTTGTGAGTTTCTTTATCGGGAAAAAAAAATCTAATCAAGAAACTTTCAAAATTTTGTCAAATTTGTATTAAAGCAGACTCTTAAAATTATTTCAAGAAACATGATATGTAACATTATGGGATGGTCCTAATGCAGCTAAATGACTACCTTTTGTATGTAAAATTCTTTATTTGATAGTGAGTGCATAAATCTCTAGTTCTCTATGTATTTATGAAGGACTGTGAAATACACTTCTCAGGGGATCCTCCTTTATTTCCTATAGCTACTGAATATCAGTTTTCTTCTTTTTACAATAAAAAATTTTGACAATGAGAAGAAACAATACCAGAACCAAACAAAAAATGGTTTCATGTTTGCTAAGGTGATGATTGATAAACGTCTGGGACTGTAGCTTTCCTTGGCTTTTCTTGTACATCCCTTAAAATATAACCATTTTTTTCTTCATATTCTTCATCAGAAAAATTAGTAAAAGACTTGGACAAAACTTGAAAAAGTAACAGCATGTTTCGGAGAGCTGAAAATCCACATTTCAGCTGTTTTCTTTGAAAAATAAGCTCTTTGAAAAAAAAGTTTTATGTTAATAGCTGAAATTTACAAACATTTTTTTTCCCAAAAAATATGTTATTTTTATGAAGTTGAAATTTAAAGTTTAGGATTATTTCTTTAAAGTTTCTTTCTTTTTAAGCTAATTTATTATATAAAATGTGATCATTTGTTGTATCTAAATGAAGTTAATTATCTCAAAAAACACTTTTCATCAAATTTATTCAAACAAAAGATTATTATGATTATAACTGATTATATATATAATTGATTATTAAAATAATTTTAATTTTTACTAGTTTTTTAAACACACTCTAAAATAAGAGTGTATTTGTATCCACATCAAAGACGTGATTTTTTCGGCTAATCGAAGTTATGTTTTGTTGTTTTTGCGTATTTTTCTATTCTGACATGAAGAGAGAGGTAGGATCTACCTTTTCAACTCAATTCCAAACATGGACTTGTTTTATATGGTAATTGTTATCCTACTAATTGGACAGTTATGGTGAATGTGATCATGGAAATTTGCATTATGAAGAATAAACTGAGAAAAAAAAAGGAGGGTTAATTCTAAATGAGAATTACATAAAACTTTCTTAAAAAAGAAAACAACCTAAATTTAATGTTCAACCTCTCGTAAAACATAATGTCCAACCTAAAATAACATGCTTAATATAAAAACAATCTTGATTATTTTAAAATATTAATTATTTTAAATAATATGATATTAGTGGTGTGCTAGGGAAAAACTGAGAAGAAAATGGGATGAAAAACGAGATTAAAGACAGAAGTAATTGTATGAAAAAATATATTAAAAGTTGTACGGGTATTTTGGTTATATAAATTTGTTAATTGTTTTTTTATATGTAAGAGTTGAACTTAGTACAAGAGGTTAAAATAATTCAGGAAAGCTATTCAACTAACTGAGTTAGACTCTTTAGTATTTTTTTTTTCAAACTAAATTTAACATTAAATAAGTATTTTAAAGATAATTTATTTTTGTTACACAATATATTATTTATATTATGGATTAAATAAGCTAAATGACTTGGTGATTTAAGTGGTAAAAGAGATTGGAAACGTCATGGGTTCAAATACCTTGTCAAACTTTTACCATTTTTGGAATTATAATTGGGATAAAAAAATAATGTAATTTAAATATTTTAAATATCAATTATTACGTTATCTAATAATATCAAGTAATATTTTCAATAATATTGAGACAATGAAGAGATTTTTGTACTAATTGGATAGAGCAAAAACAAAATTTAAGAATTCAAGAAAATTTTATGATAAGACGACTCATTTTTAATTAACGATAAGTGTAAGTGGAAGAATAATTATATATGTAGCTTAGATATCCTAACATGCCAATAGACTTAAATTTTATTCTTATAATTTAATCAGACACTCATCTTCTATTTTTATTGTTCATTTTGATAAATTTAAAAAGAAAAAAAGAAAAAAAAAATTGCCTCTCCTCTCTATCAATCAAAGGGATGGAAGAGAAGAAGTCTACAGAGTCTCATCCAGTTGAGAATTAATGACTCACAGTATTATGCAATTTATTACAATTTTAATGGTGACTACATTTAATGATTAGGTTAAAATCCCATATTTTACAAAATTGAAGAATCAAAATTACGAATTAAATATTAGAAAAGAAATGCAATTTATCGATTTTAATTCCAAGTCAAATAACTTATGTGATAAGATAAACTAAATTTGTGGTTAAAATGTTTTACTTTGTAATTTTATGTAAATGAAATTGTTTGATATTATGTTGAAGTTATTTTTGGTGGTCGTAATTTCCTATGAGCTTACTGAAAATATGTTGTAATTATCTCTTAAATATTTTATTTATAATTATTAATTCATGTCCGGTCAAAAAAATAACTATTAGTTCATGCATTAATTAATTTGGTAGTTTAATTTAAAATCAAAATTCCAATGTTTATCTAGTTACACATAGGGATGGCAACTAGGCATGGCAATCTAACCCGTCCCCGTGGGTACCCGTCCGAACCCGCCCCGATTTGGACGGGGAAAACCCGTGTTTATCGGGTTCGGGTTCGGGTTCGGGTTTTCCCCGATTGATAAAATCAGGGGCGGGGGTGGGGACGGGGATGTTAATACCCACCCCGCCCCCGCACCCATACCTGCCCCCGCCCCCCTTAATAATA